TTTGTTTCTTGTGTTATTATGTTATGTAAATTTAATGGTATAAAGGTTATGAATTAACCCCTGGAGGTCATTCCCACTCCTAATGAGCTGGAAATGTTCACAATATGACTGCATTAAATTAAATAAAAGTGCATCAATGATAAGATTACTTGACATTTTTTTCATGAATTTGTGTCAACTTATCTTCTGGCGGCGGCCTTAAGAATAGGAATGAAAATCATTCAGAGATGGACCACATTAAACTATTTGTATAATTTTTTTTTAATGTAATACAAGTAGTAGTTTGCATACATAAACAAACAGGGGTCTGGGAAGGGGTGAGGGGAAGGATCGAGTTAATATTTCTTTATGTCTTAATGGTTGAAAACTCCTAAAATGAATGTTGACCTCAAATCTAACTTGTCCTCATTATTTTTCAAGTGGTGGTGTCTCCATATGAGTGAAAAATTCCTGAGAGGGATGTTTAATAACAAACAAAATGACATAAAAACACAATATTGATTTGCGTTAAGAAATATGCAGGGGATTTTTTCCATCATAAATCTTCTTCTCAAGAACAGCAAGGGCATTATTGTCCCCCGTTTTGGGGAAAGGGAGGGGACGTTAAATCTCATTTGTCTGTCAGTTTGTACATTTTATTGACAGCTTTAACCTTGGTCATAACTTTTGAATAATAAGAGATACTGCTTTCCTATTTCACATGTACATTACCACAAAACTTTCTAAATATACTATGATTTTTTAACCCAAGTGAGACCTTGACCTTAAAGTTTTACCTACTTTCCAAAAAATAACATTTTAAATTGATCAATTTGAAAGAGAAAAGAAAGGGCATTCAAATTATACATGTTTATTACATGTGAAAAGACTTTTCTAAATATATCATTACTTTTGACTCTGTGACCTTGACCTAGAAGTTTAACCTACTTTTCAAAAATATTATATTGTATATATAAATTTTGATTCAAAAGAGATATGACTTTTATATTTGACATGTACATTACCTGCAACAAAATGTTTCAGAACATGCTATGATTTTACCCCTTTGACCTAATTTTCAAAAATTGATATATGATATGGGTGCATATTCAGTGACATAATATGCCATAAATTATGGCATCCCATTCACTAAAACACAGAAAGCAGAGGACCACAATTCTTTGAATTTGCTTGTATAATCTTGATAGATGGAAACATCGTCATATAATGTAGATTCAAGTTTTTTTATGCCACACCATGATTAGGAATACATGTATAGTTTTTGTCATGTCCGTCCTCCACCCTTCCATCTGTCTTTCCATTGGGCTCAAAGAAACTTTCTAGATATTTTTATCAAAGTTCATATGTTGATGCATACTGATGTAAATATCCAACTGCAGCAATATTTTTTGACTTTGACTTTTCCTTTGACCTTCACGTAACTTTTCTTTAAAGAGGCTGGGTGGTTGCGGCCATTTTTAGACTATTTTGATCTCCTTTAGAAGAAGAGCTCCATATAAAGGTATAATAAAAATGATAAAATGATCAAATTTTAAAACTAAAATTTATGAAATTTTTTTTTTTGCCAAATGATAGTTGACGGCTTAAGATATCATATCCCCAAATTTAAGTTATAACCGGTGGTTAATAAAAAAATAATTTGTTGACCCCCTAGCCTCCTTAAATTACTGTTTAGCTTTATTTTAAAGAAACCATTCAATTTGTGTAATGAA